CTTCCTCTGTAAAAGGGTAGTGCAATCACTTTGTTCAAAGGAAATTGCAGACTGCAATGTGAGAGGAGTTTGGACAAGAGCCTAATCTGTGGGTGTTTTGCTGAAGGATAGATAATTTAAAGTCTTTCAGGCAGCAAAGGGTTAATCCACTGTTGGGCCAAGCTAGAGGGATCAGAGTACACAGTGCTTGTGTTTTCATGCTTGTGTTGTCACCATGGTCATTCATTTCACAATTTTTTTTTCTTTTTCTTATATGGTCTCAGGGTGGTGTAGTGGGGAGAGATGACCCAGATTCAAATCTCTGCTGCAATCTCTTATGTCTTTATTTATTAATTTTAAGAGATTTTTGCTATAGTTACCCCCTCAAGGGCTAGAGAAACAAATGGGAGGAGGTGGTGTTGCTAGAAGCTAGGAGCTTGGAGAAGGGCTGCTGAAGGGCCAATCAATATTTCTTCCAGCTCCGTTGCATGTTGTCAATGGACTCAGGCCTTCAGTCACATTCTGAGAAGGAAGAATTTCAGATGGGAGGGAAATAACTGAGTACTAGGATAAAGGGTTACAGGGATTGGGGTAGAATTGGAGTGAGGACGTTTTTATAGCAGAACTTCATGAGCATTTTGACCACTTGTGAGTTGACCATAAACTCAAAAAGGCCAAGAATGGAGCAGTTTGGGAATGAGATGACTATTTAAATCATCCAGGTATCTTGGTTTTCTATTGCTATGTAATAAATCACTACAAATTTAGCAGCATAACTCAACATCTATGTATTAGCCCAGAGTTTCTTTGGGTCAGGATTCCAGATGATTTAACTGGGTCCTCTTCTCAGGATCCCACAAGACTTTTATCCAGGTGTCAGTTGGGACCTAAGGTCTCATTTGAGGCCTTAGGATCCTCTTCCATGATGATGCAATTGTTGACAGGATTGAATGTGTGTATGTGTATATATATATATATATATATATATATATATATATATATACACACACACACAGATCGAAACTCTCACTCTTTTACTCTCTCTCTCTTTTAAAGTGTTGGCCTGATTAAGTCAGGCCCACCCTGGTTTTATCCCTTTGGGTTAACCCAAGCCCAACTGATTTAGGTACTTAAATTGCATCTGAAAAATTCTCTTACCTCTGCCATATAATGAACCTAATCACAGTGGGTGCCAATCATAGTCAGAGATCTGGCCCATACTCACAAGGAGGGAATTATTTAGCATGCACATACTAAGGTCAGGAATTTGAGGAGCCATATTAGAATTCTGCCTACCACACCAGGCAAGAGATAGTTTTAGTGGGGGCATAGGTGTGGAAATGTGACATGGTTAAATTTGGGATGTAATATTCAAATCCTGATCAGAAGATTGACTAGAAGAGGGAGAGGACTCCAACCTAACAATCTACATAAAGTAGAGTGGGCTGTTAGTGAGGAGGGAGCTCCTGAAAGGAGAGAAACTACCCAAGGAAAGCATTTCATTGCCTAGGGCATGCTGTAGGTAAAAGGTCCCCAACTGTGAGGGCAGGAGTTTCAAAGAATCCACAAAAGTGCCTCTAAGTGAGAATCAACTCTAATAAGCCCTGGTTGACTCAGAGAACTTCAAGTCATCCAGCTGAAAAAGATCTGTTCCTCTTGTACCTCTTCCCATCCATTGCCCAATTTTAACTCTAGCAGAGTCTGAAATGTCAGCTAATAAGGTAGGGTGAGGAACAGAGCAGAGAGAGAAGGAGCTGACCACGTCCCTTCCTCAAAGACAGAGGCTCAAGAGAAAAATCTAGATGTAAAGGAAGGAGGGAAATCATTTAGGGGAGTTTGAAGCACTCAGTCCTTGGGGCTGAACACATTCATATAAATGCCAGAGGGTGCGTGCACTTATGAGAGATAAGAGAGAGAAAGAGAGAGACAAAGACCCAATGGCATGTGTTCACACTGCAATCTTTTCTCTTCTTTTTCTCCTTCCCATCAGGATTTTGTACATGCACACACACACACACACACACACACACACACACACGCACACACACACAGGCCCAGCATATTTTCAAGCTGCCAGAGAGGATTTGAACTGAAATCGGCTATGTGGGATCCAGGTTCCAATGCACAGTGCTTAACCACTGTGGTACAGGACTGGCGCCCATGTTCATATAAATGAATCTAATTTTGTTTCCATCCAGAAGCAGGTGAGAATGACCACCACTGAATATATTTTAGAAGGTGTGCAGTTATTGGGACCAGGAGTTTGCGTAATGGATATGTTGCTAGACTCACATGTAGTCAACCATGGTTCGAGTCCCAGACCCAGTGGCTTAAACTAACGCCAGGCATGTGTGTGGGCATGCCCCAGATCCTGAGAGGCGAATGGAGGAGAAGGGATTGCGGCATGGCCATCCTCCCAGGGGGTGATTTCTTGCTTTCTGTCTCTGTCTCTCTCTGTCTTTCCAGTGAGCTCATACGCCCTATAGCAAAAACCTCTCTCTCAAAAGAAAAAGGTGTGTAGTTATCAAAATATAAAGTTGCATCTTGATCCCATCTCAGACTACTCATTCAGTGTATCAGTTATGCAAAGATCTATGGAAAGAGAATTCTTGCCAGAGGGAAAAGCAAGTGCAAAGGTACTGAGGTAGAAATGATGACGTTGTCTCTAAAAAACTATAATATAGTGAGAGAAGGGGAGGATAAAGAGGTGAGTCTGAACAGGTAGGCAGAGGCCAGATCAAGCACTAGCCTGTAGATCACAGTGAAGGGTGGACTTCCTGCTAATGTCACTGAGATGCTGTTGGAGGTTTTAAACAGGAGAGTGACATGGTCTAATTTATGTGCTAGGTGCTGGTGTATGCTAGGTGCACTCACTATTCCCATCCTCATTGAGGTCTGCTGACTAGAATTCTTTCCCCACTTTATGGCGGGGTCCGGATGCCACAATCAACCCTCATCCTCAGCTAGCCTGGATCAAGGGCACGCGTGCGCCCATTGTACTCAGGGAGTTCTCTAGACATGAACTAGCAGCCTTCCCATGTGGGTCTGCCTCACAGAACATCATGTTTTACCATAACACCACCTTCCAGGTTTAGTGAGCCATTTTGAAAGTAGATTCTCCATCCTTTATTCATATGTGATAGATGAGGCATCCCTCTGAGCTCTATCTTAATGGCAGACCTGTGAGCTAAACATACTAAATTAAGACGTTAAGACTTACTTAAAATAGCTTCAAAACCAGCAATAGAGAACTAATACAAACAGGTTAAGTAATTTCCTGAGATTACAAAGAGGTAGGATTCAGACCAATGTGCTTCTGGCTCCAAGTGGTATTACCACTATGCCCAATTTAAAAATGCTCAGTACTGTGCCTGGAACAAAGTAAATGAACAACAAAGAATTTCCTTCCTTCTCTCCTTTCTCCCCTAGGGGCTCTCAATGAAACACATTTCTGTGGCCTAGGCAGCGTAGCTTGGGTGGTGACATTCCAACAGAGCCCCCTACTCTTAGGTTGGGCTATATCTTCTTTAGTGCAGGAACCAGATAAACCCAAGTCAAACAGAGCTCCTTCTTTATCCCAACATCTTTGAACTTAGAAAGCCTTTGCCAATGTGCACTCTGCCTCTAGCAGCCTTTGAGGCTCAGGAAGGAAGCCCTGCCTTCTGTAGAAATATCCAAGCATTCACGTCAGTACCATTTCAGGCATTTCTGGTGGGTTTGAGCAGTGAGAATTTCTCAAAGGTCCCCAAATCACTCTTTAGTCTACATAGAAATCTCAAACAAAGGATTTTTCTCCTCCTTTTCCTGTAGGGTTTACTGAGCCAATGTGATATTTAGTAATGGCAGGAGGGCTGATGAGGATGGGGGCTGAAGTGATGCTCTTGAGAGGGTAGGCCTACCGGGGCTGTTCAGAGTGTCCTTGTGGTGAGTCTGTACCTTCTGGACCTTTCTCTGGTGCCTTGACTTTTTGCTTTCTGGGGCTTAGCTAGGACAATGTGGCAAGTAGATGCACTGGAAGGGCACAGGAGGCAGACATTACCCCCCCTCGGTTGGCCATTTCTCCCGAGCCAACCCTTAGCAGTGGTCTGCCTGAACTTCCACATGTACCTTTAGTCTGGGCAACATGTATTAATGCACTCATTTATTCCTTCACTTCTCCAGCCACACGCCCACCCACCTATTTACTCATCTATTTGTTGAAGACAATATAGCCTAGTGGTTTAGGTGATGGGCTCTGGATCCACACTGACAGGGTTCTGATCCTGCCTTTATTGCTAGTCACCTTCACCTGTCTGTGCCCCAGATCCTCATCTGTGAAGTGGGAGAATACAGTTCTAATACCTGCTATACAGGATTTTTATAAAATAAAATGAATTAGCACGTAAAGTGTTTGTCCTGACAGCTGGTAAGTGTTCCATCCATATTACTGTTTTGTTTTGTTGCTGCTGTTGTTTGTGTTGGGGTCTGTGTTCATGCAGGGGGAAGCATAGCAGATGGTCTTTCTGTGTGTTAAGTCAGGTGCTAAGAAAACACAAAGTTTACTTTTTTATTTCCAGAGGGCTCAAGTTCCAAAGGGAAACAAGAAGCTTCCTTCACTGCTGGTTTTTATTTTTTAAGTTTATTTACTTATTTCTCTATCTGCTGAGAGAGAGACTTCCAACGGATCTTTACACTGAGATCCACCCCCACCCTTCGCCAGCCCAGGACACCGGTAACGTGTTACTGTGTGTTACTGCCATGCCGATGTCGAGCCCCTGCACTGCAGTTTTAATATCAGTGCACGCCATGTAATGTGCCAGTTTACTGTCCTTCTACATGTTATGTCATTCTTTTATCTCTCCCCAAATTCCTTTGAAGGAAACTATAAATAACTTCATTCCAGAAAGGGGAAAACCTCCAAGTGGGAGAGGGAAATTACTTGTCCAAGTTTGTGTGGCTGAAAGTCAGGGTTGGGGGAAGGGGGGAGGTCACACTGGCGTTCAGGAAAAACGCCTGTGTTCACGCTGTTCCAGGCTCCTCTGGGAAGTGATTCCAGGACTGTCTTGGAGACAGCGAAGCCAGCTCACATCTGAAGACATCTCACAAGGCCCTGGCTGGGACTCCACCAGCTTTGAACACTGCTTCAAAGCCACTGCTGAGCCACCTGCTGTCCAGGATACCTTTCAAACTAGCGCCTTCTTCCCGTGAGTAAGCCCACCCGGCAGAGCTAAGGAAAACTGCAGGTATGATTAGCTTCCAAGATCACACTTTATGCCACTTCTTCTCCTTATTTGAATTATAAAAGGAATTTTCTGTTTTGAATAGCAACTCCAACTTTCTGCCTTTTTCTGCAAGAAGGAAAAGCATTCAGTCATAAATAGGGGTAATTTCATTACCAGTTTTCAATTACAAATGAGTTCTTAAAATCTGGTGTCTTCCTTTGGTGTCAGAGTATGTTTGGTGTCCAGGAACTCTAAGAGTTGGGTCCAACTGGCTAATAGTGGACAGGAACTTGTCTCTGGCGAGGCTAATGGACAGTTTTCTGTTTCTTGAAAGGAGAGGTTGATGGGAAGCTTTGGATCAAGGTGGACAGAGCATCTGGACATCTGGACATGTTTTTGAAACTTCTGTCCTTCATGGGCCAGAGTCGCTTCACCTGGTGCTAGGTTGGCAGGAACTCCACATCAAAGGTGAGTTTGGGAAGCTGAATATCGACTCCCAAGGTAAGGTCAGAGAGAGAGAGAGGCTATCAGATTTCTTGGAGCAGAGCCAAGCTTAAAGATCTAAAGCAGGAGTTAGCACACTTTTTTTTTATAATGGGTCAAAGAGTAAATATTTTTGGCTTGGCAGGTCAAATTACATTTGTTGTAACTGCTCAGCTCTGCCTTTGTAGCATAAAAGCAGCAGTAAATAAATGAATGTGCTTGGCTGTGTTACAGTTTTTATTGGACACTTTATGGGTGCTACAATTTGCATTTCATATCATCTTCACATGTCACAAAATAGCATCCATCTTTCGATGTTTTTACCCAAACCATTGAAAATGTAAAAACCATCTTTATGGATTATATAAAAGTAGGTGGTGGATTTGACCCACAGGTGGTAATTTGCTGACCCCTGATATAAATGTCAAAGGGGTTTCTGATGCCTTGGGCTGGGAGGTGGCCACATAGTCACCAAAAAAGCTTTCACAGGGGACAGAGCAGAACAGAAGCTCATAGTAGCAGTGGAGGTCGGCCTCCACCTAGCCCAGTATGAGCAGCCTCTTCTGAGAAAGTTGTGGGAGAGAAAAACCTGTTTTCTGAAACAAGAAATATGATTCTGTTCATAAATCATTTGCTGATGTCTCCCAAGTGGTAGGAAATCTCTAGACACTAAAACTGGAGAATTTTTTAAAAAAAGAACATGCATATATATAAAATATCTTTTTTCATTTTATTTTTAACCATGAGGTAACTCAGTTGTCAGGTACCCAAATATTCTAGTTGATCATACCCCAGTTGCATGATCCTTAAAGATATGAAGAACCAGTTGGCATGTGGTAGAAATCCCAGTGTCCATCTTTAAACCTCCAGGAAATCTTTTCTTTTAAAAAATGTTTGTTTATTGATTGATTGATTGATTTTGTTTATTTCATAAGCTAGAGAAAGCATGCACATGCCAGAGAGACAGGCACCCCTGACATGGCCCCTCATGCTGCAGTCTCCTTCTCCTAGCCCGACATGTTTCAGGTTGACTTGGGATCTGAAACTGGTCAGCCATGTTGCTTTCAGCACTGCAGATCAGTGTGCTGCTGCTGGCTGTGCCTCTGTGGCTGAACCTCTCTAGGGATTCTGGAAGGGATTTTTTTGTCTCCTAATTGCTTTTGATTCTGCCTTGACCTTTTGACTTACCTTCCTTCCACCTTCTGTCAGTTCACAACTGGAACACAGTTTCTTCTGTACTTCTTCAGACTGTTGTACACCAGAAAGAATTGAGTGTGATAGGGTCTGATGAAAATTTGAACTTGAAAGCCCTTTGGTGATTCTAGCCACCAGAATTTTCTCCTATCACCCACCCACACCACATTTTCCCTCCCAAATCTTTCTTTTCTGAAATAACTGTGTTCTATGGCGAAGTAGACAGAAACATTCTGCATCAAAATGCCAGCATGAACATCCTGTGATAGGTAAGTCAACAGTGGTGAGAGACCACAGGAGAGAACCACTGGCCCTACTAAGCTATGAGAGGGTTGAGAGCACTCCCTAGAGAAAGGGATGTGAGAGGGCTGCTGACATGTGAGTAGGAATTTTTATCAGGGAAGCAAGGTGGAAGGGTGTTTGGATCAGAGGGGTGAATTTAAATAAAGGCTGATGCTAAGATTTGAGTTTTTCCCCCAAAGTTCATGTGCCAGAAACTTAATCTTATTTATTTATTGAGGTTTTTGCCACAGGGCGCATGTGCTCACCAGAGAGAGACAGAAAGAGACAGTGAGAGAGAAAATGAGAAATCACCTCCTAGGGGTATAGCCATGCCACAATTCCTTTTCCTCTATTCTTCTCCTGGAACTCTGGGCATTTATGCACACATGCACAGCATGATTTTCAAGCCATCAGGTCGAGGACTCAAACCACAGTTGGCCATGTGGGAGTTCAATGCCTTAATCACTACTCCACCTACTGTCCTCAGAAACTTAATCCTCAATGCAACAGTGTTGAGAGGTGGGACCTTTGAGAGATGATTGCATCATGAAAATTCTGTCCTCATGAATGGCTTAATGCCATTATCATGGGTATGAATTACTTATCTTGAAAGTGAGGTCCTAATAAAAGAAGGGGTTCATTATTGCCCTTCCTTTCATGTTCTTTTGCTCTTCTCACTTTCACCATGGGATAACTCCATAAGAAAGCTCTCACCAGATTCTGGTACCATGCTCTTGGACTTCCCAGCCTCCAGAACCATGAGCCAGTTAAACTTCTATTGTTCATAAAGTTACCCAGTCTGCAGTATTCTGTTACAGCAGCACAAAACAAACTAAGACAGCTGATAAGATCCGTGAGGGAAACATCCATCTTCATGGAACATATTTCCACTGGTCTATTTATTAAACTCTTCTTTCCAAAAAGAAAAGCTATAATTAAGTTTCTAATCTTTGTTTCCTGGGGCCATTGAAGTATTCTGAATCAATATTTTTAGACATGAATTTCAATGAAGTATCAGAAATAATGACATAAAATACTTGTATTAAAATGTTAAATTATAAATACTAAAATATTTTATTGAATTAGATGTATAAATTAATAATAAACATTTTATGAATAAAGCACTAGAGTTGAATACCCATGAATATCCCTGTGGTTAACACTTGCAAAAACAACTCTTTAGATACACTCTCCAAAATGTCACCGAGCAATCTCCCCATGGTAGACATTTATAGTAACCTCCTCAGCAGCCATTCTCCTCTTTGTAGTAGCTGTGATTTCTGTTTGAGGATCAATGTGATTCTGGGGAAGTTGACTCTACTACCAGCTACTGTGGGGGCACTCAACTGGTCTAAATCTATCAATGAACCCCTTCTTTGCTCTCAGTTCAGAGTTGAGTGCCTGGTTAGAGTTGACAGTATTCCTGCTATTGTTGCCAATCAGAGAAAATAGTATTCCTTCTTAGGATGTTGGGACAATGGCATCCTCCCATTTTCTGTGCGGATGGGTCACCCTACTGTTGCAGCCCCCAGGGATGCCAACTGAGGATGAAACTGAGCCAAGAAAAAAGCATCAAAGCTCTTTTGCCATCATGAACTACTGAATCAAACTGTGTCTGAAGTCTGCCTACCTCTGAAATTTTCATTTTGAAGAGACCGTACTTTCTCTTTATTGTTTAAGCAGGATTAAAATGGATTTTCATTCTGAGCTGAGACAATTCTCAAGGCAAAACTAGACTTATGTCTATCCTTTGGTAGAGACTTGTGATTATCTGAATTCAGAATTTGGGCATTCAGCTGATGGTACCTGGAGTATCCAATCTTCGATTAATCACACCAGTAACAATCTGAATCTATTAAAATATATATAGTATTTGCATGAAACCATATTGGCAGTGCAGAAGAGAATCAAAGGGATGAGGAAAGTTTCTCATCCACTGTAATGAGAATTCAGAAGAAAAGCTACAACCAGCAGCAGCTGTGGTGTTTTCATTGGAATTTGAAATTAGAGCCAGAGATACAACTTTTCTACTGGGCTGTGCCAGGCGAGGGCTGACAAGCATGCATTAAAGCTAGCTTTGTAAACCTCAACCAGTTAATGATGGCCATGGATTTAAGGAAATCAATTCTTCAGGGGCCTGAAGAAGGAAGTGATTCTTTTACTTCTGTTCCTAAAGGTAGTATGTAAGTATTGTGGAGATTTTAGAAAATGTAGAAAAATATAACTAAAAAAGTAACAAACACCAAAATTCCTCAACTCAGGTATTCTTTATTTTTGAAAAATCTACATACCTTCAGTCATTCTGGATATGCAGTTTTATGTCAAAGGCATTTCTCCCCCAAAATAATGTCTTCGTAATCATAAAAAAGTGGCTGCATAATATTTGGTCATAGAGGTTTTCTGTAGAAAGATCATCTTTCCTTCTTTGTTGAATATTTAAATAATTTGTCAGTTATTTTCTTTCTTTCTTTTTTTTTTTAAACAGATTTTGTTTTTAGGGCAGTTTTAGGTTCATAGTAAAATTAAAAGGAAGGTACAGAAATTTCCCATATAACTCCTGGGCTCACACATGTGTACCATCTGTTAGCAACATTGTCCCACCAGAGTGGAGTTTTTGTTAACAATTAATGAACCTACATTGACACATCATTATCACTCAGAGTAGTTAGGGTTGACTCTTGCTGTTGTTCATTATATGGGCTTAGATAAATTTATAATGGCATGGATCCACCATTTTAGCATTATAGAGTATAATCTCACTGCCCTAAGCATCCTCTGTTCCACCTATTCATCCCTCATTCCACTCTAACCCTTGGCAGCTGAGAATCTTTTTCCTGTCCCTAGTTTTGCCTTTCCTTGACATGACTGTGATGATTCGTATTTTCATATTTTCACTTACTAATATTTATTTAAGTTTTTTCCATGGCATGATAGCTTATTTCCTTTTAATGCTCAATAATATTCCACTGTCTAGATATACCTCAGTTTATTTATCCATTCACCTAGTAAAGGACATCTTGGTTGCTTCCAAGTTTTGGCAAGTTTAAATAAATCTGCTATAAACATTTATATTCAGATTTTTGTGTGGGTATATATTTTCCATTTTTAACTCCATTGAGTAAATATCAAGGGGATATGATTGCTAGGTTATATGGTAACAGAAGGGTTTGTTTGTTTTTTGTTTTTTTTGAGAAGTTTTTGTTAGATCAAATAAGAATAATAAAGAGAATTTTTGTTTTATTGTCACTTATTTTTTTCCAATACTTTCCCTTTCTTTATGTAAATTTGAATTTCTGATCTTTATCATTTTTTCTTCTTATTAAATATTTCTTTTGAAGTTTATTTATTTATCTTAAGAGAGACAAAGACAAGCATCCTGGGCAGGATCTCCTGTTATGACCCTCCCTCCTCAGCCCTTCTAGCCAGCCAGGATCATGGGCATGTGCACATGCACCTAGTGTATACAGGTCAACCTGGGAACAGAACCCCTATCTTCCATATGTTTTCCA